GTTCAGGGGGGCATGAAGTTTGAGGGGCGCTTGGGGGATCTGAGCGTCCCGGATCTCAATCTGGGCTACCAGAACAAGCTGCAGCCGCTTCGCTTCCGGCGTAGTGCCACGGCGGCAACCCTCACAGATGAGGACAAGTTTGCCGTCCTGCTAGACATGTGCGCCGGAGATGCTTATCATGTGCTACAGGATAAGTACCGGACGCGGTTGGAGACCAACGCGACCAACCGGGAGGCGACCGAGAAGGAGAACAGGAAGATGGAGGTGAAGCTGGCCAAGAAGTGGCACGACGCGGCCAAGGTGGAGGGAGCAGAGCCGGGACCGGCCCCCTCCTGGCCACGTCTGGTTCCAGAGGGGGACCCTACTCTCATGACGGACGCTTGGCAACTCCTGCAGGACACCTACCCTGAGCAAAGTGCTCACTCCCTGGCTAAATACCTCGACTTCCAGTACGTCTCCAGCCGCAGCACCGCCGCCACCTTCCATTTCCTGCGGGAACTCTGCCGCAAGAACGGGAAGGAGACAAAGGGGCGGGAGGTGACGGAGAAAGCCCTCAAGTCCCTGCGCCCGGAGATCCGGAAGGCGCTGGAGGGCGACGTGCTGAAGTGGGCGGTCGATAAGTGCACCCTCACCAACCTGGAGGACGACGCGCAAGATGGAGGACGCCCTGCACACCCGGGACTTGGAGCGCGCCCCCCAGACCCTGATGAAGTCACTTGCGGGCCCGGGGGAAGGTCAAGGACCTGTCCCTGTCGAAGCTTCACCCCCGGCCTGCTGAGGACCATCATCCCCGGCGAGACCGCAGCCCCCGGCGTCGCGACGACCGGAAGGGCAAGGGGAAGGGCAAGGGCAAGCAAGCCTTTGCCGCAACCGCTGCTCCGGCCAAGGGAGGAGATTTCCCCTCGCCCTCCTACAACTGTGGCGAGACGGGGCACATGAAGCAGGATTGCAAGAAAAAGCCTAAGGGCGGGGGTGGCCCTGGCAGGAAGCCGGGGGCCTTCTGCGGCCACTGCAAGAAGCGGGACTCCCACACCGAGGACGAGTGCTGGGAGAAGCACCCCGACAAGCGGCCGGAGAAGTGGCGCCAGCCCCGGCCTGGCGGGGCGACGCGCCCCGCCTACGCTGCAGAGGAAGTGGGGGGCTAGCAGGGGGAGGACAACCCTGTTGAGCCCAACTTCGACCCGTACACCACCTGGACAGTTTGCCTGGTGAGCCAGGCGCCGGGGGTGGACGCGATGGCCGTGGGGGCCCCGGAGGACCTAGGTACTGGAGCTGCCCCAGTACCCAGGCCCAGCGGGACACCGAGCCTGCTGCGCGCGCCCGCGGAGAAGCGGAGCGCCTGGCGGCCAAGGCGAAGGATGATCGCCTGCGGCGGGGAGGACCACCCCCGCCGTTCAGCCCAGGGGAGAGCGTCCCCCGGCTGAGGAGGAAGCCGCAGGAGCGGCGCCGCCCACAGCAACGGCGGCGGAGGAAGCCGAGGTACTGCGCAGCGGCCCGGCTCAGAGCCTTCCACCCAGCTTCGGGGAGTACCCCATCACTGACCCCCGGTACCAGGGGTCGGAGGACCACGAGCATGCTGGGATGCAGCCCCACCTGCTGGACGAGCCCAAGGTGGGGCCTCAGCGAGAGGTCCGGGTTCACCGCCCGGAGCCCTTTGAGGTCGTCACCGGCAACGCCCACGTGGCTTGGGCCCGGGCATGCTCTGTGCGGCTGGTCCAAGTCTCCCTTGGACAGCCTCTCCGGTGCAGAGGCGGGGCTGGCCCTAGGGCCAGCAAGATTCCTGAAGCCGAGGAGGAGGAAAGAGTCTCCGGCGAGCCTGCTGAGGGGGAGGAGTCCGACGATAAGGACATGGCGGGGGTTGACGACGACCGGCAGATGGAGCCGGTTGTCGAGCCAACTGAGGAGCAGCAGGCGGTACATGTCATCCCTATCAAGTACCGCTACTACCCCCCGGCTCAACTTCCCTTGGGAGGGGAAGTTTACCTCAGCAACCACATCGACCTCATGGAGAAGAACTTCCGGAGGGACCCCACCAACCCGGAGGTGGACGGCCACTTGAACCCGGGATGGCTCAAGACCCAGAGGTGGTTCCAGTTCAAGCGGGCAGAGCTCGAGGCCTACGTGCTGTGGCACGGCGGATGGATTGTGACGTACGAACGGCACATCGAGCGCCGCGAGGCAGCCCAGCTGGCTGTGCGCCAGGTGGACCGGTACGTCCTGAGCGCCCTGGGCGCAGCGCAGAGGGCGCTCCGGGAATACTTCCAGACCTGCAACGAGCAGTCCCTCACCTGCCCGGACTTGCGGATGATGGTCAACATCCACGAGTGGATGATGGAGTCGCTGATAGAACGGGATCGGCACGACTATGTCGTGAACCTGGGCCCTCCCCCGGTACCGGAGCTGCAGCGCGAATCCGGCTCTATCGAGCATGGGACCCGGTTTGGTGTGCCCATGTCCCTGCTACAAGCCCACCTCGCCCGGCGGTACGGCACCAACTGGGTTGAAGGGTTTCTCCAGGGTCGGGTGGTTAACTACCCCCCCGGGACCCCCAACCTTCCGGTCCCAAAGCGCCAGTACGCTATCCCACTGACCGGGCCGTTAGCGGAACCCCCGGTCAGACGCGACGAGACGCGCGAACCGGCTGGAGCCCGTGCCGCTCCCGAGAAACGGCCCTACTGTCCATCGGGGCTGCGAGTCCTGATTCGCAAGGAGTGGGCGAAGCACGAGCCAGACGGCACGGCAATCCCCCGGGCACAAAAGTTTCCAGCCAGCAGCCGAAGGACCCCAACCCCGTCGTCTGGGAGCGAGTCGGGGGGATCGGCCGGAGCTGGGGACGATGCAGGGGGAGAGGTGGGGGCAGAAGGCGTCGAAGAGGCGTGCGAGCGCGGCCTCAAACGTCAGTCAGCGGCCGTGGAAGGAGAGCCCACGGACCGGAGCAGCAAAGTCCCCAAGGGGGGCGAGGCAGCTGCTGAGGCGGCCGGAGGAGTAGCCGCAGCAGGCGCCGGCGTGCACCGGGAAAAAGAGCGGGCCAAGCAGAGCATCGCTGAAGGGGTTAGAACCCCCACCGGGGTTGGAACAGCCACCGAACCTGAAGTGGCTGGAGCGCCGGCGGAGACCGTCGCTGCCCCGGTGCCCACGGCGGCAGCGAGGGAGGCGGCAACGGCCGCCGCAGCTTCATCGACAGCGGAGGCAGAGGCGGCAGAGATAAGGGCAGATTCTGCATCTGCAGCAGCACATGTGTGCACCAGCTCACACCGGGGGAGAAGGTCGACCCTGCGGGTCAACGGCTCTACCTACAGATTCTTCATCTGCAGCAGGCACGGGAGGTGGAGCTGGTGCGGACCGGAAGCCAGGAGAACCCAGTCCCCAAGGTGCTGCAACCGACAGTTCACCCACCTTTCGTCCCTTCCGTCCGAGGAAACATGGACAACTACTTAGCCCTCAACCCGATGCAGCGCCTCTCTCAACAGGGATACAACCTGTGTGGGGCATTCCTCAACGGCCGGGCAACCCAGATCCGGAACCTTTACGCCGAGCAGTTCGACGCCACAGGGAGGAAGGCGCGATTGGAGGTCCGGGAGTTTGGAAAGAGCACTGCCCTGCCTACCCGGGCGGTGGGCCCGACGCCGAAGACCGGACAGAAGCGCCGGGCGGCCAAGTCACAAGAGGGCAGGGAGCGGCCTAAGAAGGTCGCTGAAATCAGAGCCGAGAAAGGGGGGGGGAAAGCCCCAAAAACCCGGGGCGGTGACCTCGTCTCCCCTTACCGAGGCCGCCAAAGCCGAAAAGGGTCCAGCCGCAGCCACCGGACCGGTGGCCGCATCTGGAGGGGGGGAAAGGTTGGGGTTGGAGAGAACCCCAACCCCCGCGTCCGGAGAGAAGGAAGGGGCGGACAAAATCCCAAAGGCCGGGAGTCCTCGCTTTGAGCGCTTGCGGAAAGAGTGGCTCGAGGACCGCGAGGAAGATGTGCGCTGCCTCCCGGACAAGGGCGAGGACCCGGACAGCAAAGCCGCCCTGGACGCGGCCGGCTACCCGCCCTGCTCCCTCAGCCTGAAGAATCTGCTGATGCGGGTCTGCGGGGGAGCAGTCAGGAGGATCCCAAGGGAGCGGGAGATGACGAGGACCCGGAGGGGCCTCCGGAGTCTGGTGGCCTGGGAGGTGTTCAGGGACCGCGGGTGGCGGTACCTGGAGGGACCCCCGACTGAGCGGCCCGTGTGGTTGTCAGCCTTCGCCGAGGTGCGGGAAAGCCCGTCCCTGCGTAAGATGCTGGACGAGATTGGCGCGCCACCGCTGCCCAGAGCCCGGACGGCAGGGGAGCAGGTCTCCCTGCAGTTTGAGGCCGGGGTCAGGCAGGCGGCAACCGCGTACGGGGCCGTCCGAGAACATCCTGACGACAACGAGGAGCAGTGGCCCCCGGAGTTGGCGATCACGGAGTAAGTCCAGTTGGATATGGCCGCCTGGCGTCTGCGCGCCGCCGAAGAACGGGCCACGGAGCAGGTCAGGGAGGCAATAACCGCGAGGGTGAGGGGAGCTTTCACCACCAGGTTCCCGCCTCCCTCGTACCCGGAGCTGACCCCGGACCTTCCTCCCAGACACGTTCCAGAAGAGGAGGCCAGGCCCGGAGTTGAAGGCGAGGGACCGGGACCTGAGCAGGAGGAGTTGCCCGAGACTGAGGCCACAGAGGAGCGGCCGGAGGGTGAAGAGGCGGACACGGGGGTGGAGTTTGTACCAGAGCCGGAGGCCGGAGGGGAGCAGCCCGACCAGGAGCCGGGACCGGAGACCGGGAAGGAGCAGCCAGAGGAGGTCGTCCAGCAGCAAGGAGTACCTACAACCTCCCTGCCGGCAGCGACAAAGTTGGAGCAGAGGCAGCGCTGGCCATAGCCCGCATGGGGGGCGTTTCCCTCGCCGAGGCCCTTCCGGGCTACAGTGCGGCGGGTTCTTACGCCTCCCTCCCACTGGGCCAGCGGCCAGCTTCAAAACCTTCGACAGCTTCGACACCGGGGTCTTCATCCCACCTGTGGTGGAAGCGCACCTGGCGCTGGCGGAGGCTGAACCCACGGCGGTGACGGCCGGAGCGGAGTTCCTGTCAGCGGCCCCGCCGGTGACCCCAAGGCCCCATTCCCAACCCGAGCCACCCCAGCTTCGACCCTACCACCACGGCCAATGCTGCCGGCCACCCCTGCTGAGGTGGCAGGGCAACTGACGGCCACGACCTGAGAGCAGGTTCGCCGGGACGTGGAGGCGACCATGGCGGCGAGTTCGGTGATGGCCCAATGGAGGACCCCGTCAGGCGCATCGCGGCGGACGCGGCCGGGTTCCCGCCATACAGCCCTGATAGCACGCCGATGCTGGTCGCAGAGCTGTTGGAGGACCTTGAGGCGGACCTACCCCGAGGCCCCAGAGATGGCCTCTGTTGTGGTTGCGAATGCGGTGCAAGTCCGGAAGCGAGTTTCGGACCTGGTAGCGTCGACACGCGAGTTCTTTGCGGCGTTGCAGTTCGAGCCAACCGGGGCCTAGCCACCGGAGCCTTCCGCCTCTGTGTCGCAGCCCCCACCACCTCCGCCAATTCCCCCGACGGGCCTACCTGCTACGGGCCCCGCCGTAACCTGGAAGTCCGTGGAGGAGACCCTGACAGCCACCCTGGACATGCTGTACCCCAATGGGCAAGAGGAAAGTCCCACGCGGAAGGAAGTGGCTGATGCGGCACTCTTCCCGCCCATAAGGCGCAGTGATGCGGAGGACCTGCTGAGGGCCATCATGACCGATCTCCGGGCGACGTATGGCACGTCACCGGCGGTTGCCTCTGCACTGGCGGCGGACCCAGGGCGAGTTCAGCAGCAAGCGGCCCACCGGATGTTCAAGTTCCGGAAGGACCTCGGGGAGCGGTTGCGCCAGACGCAGGAGGAGGCGGCCAAGCGAGAGGCCGCGAAGGCGGCCGAAGCCAAAGCCGCCGGAAGGAAGAAGGTGCCAGGGTCCAGGGAATTGGGCCTCGAAGGGCCATAGGCAGCGACGGAGGAAGCGGCGCAGGGGCCGGCAGCTGGCGAGAGCGCAGCTCTGCCGGTGACCACATCGGCGGGCCCGAGCACGTCAACGCCAAGCGGCACGCCCCCACTAGCCCCAAGCGCCCCGACATTGGCACAGGTGGTGCTGGTGCCTCCGCGCGCGCAACCCCACCGCGAGCTGGGGTGGACGGCGGTGGTTCAGGTTCGAGGCCTCACCGTCAGCTGGAACAGGGCCATCAGCCAGGTTGCCCGGAGAGCCATCCGGGCAGTGGACCTGCACCTCCTCCCACCGGCCCTGCAGAGTGCCAACATCGAAGGCGTCATGGCCGGGTACATGTACGCGGAGATGGTCATCCGGCCACCAGGTGTGTCTACACCGCCCCTGCCGGAGCTACGAGAGTACCAGGAGGAGAGCGAGGATGACGGGCAGGGCCAGCAGAGCCCCGGGCCCAAGGATGAGCACCCGCAACGCGAGCAACCCCGACGGGATGATACCGAAGGGGGCAGGGGCGGAGGGGGTCCACCACCAGCAGCAGCCACGGGCAGACCTGCTGGGGGGGCAGTAACCCAATCCCAGGCGCCCCGGGGCGGGGGCCAGGGGGGCAAGGACACAAGGGGGAGGGGCGGCTCCGGCTCAGGGAGCCGGAGAGAGTGCAGCGTGGGGGCTAGCCACTCCCCGGGCGCTGGAGCGGCCTACACGCCACCCGGGAATGACTCAGCCGGGGTTAGCCACTCCCCCGGGGTTAGCAGAGCTACCCCAATCCCCGCCATTTCTGCGTTCATGGCCCTTGGGCAGGACGAGTTTAACATTTCTCTGGGCCTGCTTGAGCCGGAGACGAGAGCGTTCCTTGTGCGGCAGCTTCAGAACCTGTCGGCACACAAAGGGGACCGGAAGCGGGAGAGAGTGCGCGCGCCCACCGTACGGGTTAGCGCAAAGGCACTGTGGGTCAACGGCAAGCCCCTAGAGGGTAGCGCGATCCTAGACATCGGGGCCATGCCACTTCTGATTGGTCGGCCTGGGCTCGTTCAACTGGGGCTGCGGGAAGAAGACGTAAGTCCTGACGCAGTGAGACTGGGGCTGGCGGATGGGAAGTCAACCAAGATGTTTGGGGTGACCCGGAAGCCGATCAATTTCACCTTTAACCCCGGGAAGAGGACAGAGACAGTTGTCTCTGTTCGCGCAGTGGTGACCCAGGCGCCCTACGACTTCCTCGTGGGGAACATCATCATGTGGGTCATCGGGGGCGTCATCGACAGTTGGAGGGAGCAGTTCCGGTACCAGGTCAACTGGCGACACGGTGGGCCGGGAGTGAGCGGACCGGAGGGGTTCATACCCCTGATGTATGAGAGGGAGAGGGGCACGGCGCCCCTCCCTTACGCGCTTTACTCAACCCTCCACGGCATGGGGGGAAAGGTAGAGAGTGCGGTGGCCGTTGAGTCGGATTATGACGATATGCCCCCGCTTGCGGAGGCTTCTAACGACGAAAGCCACACCACAATCCTTGTTCCACCTCTTTCCTCCTTGACACCGGAGGAGCGAGTTCAGCGCTGGGAAGAAGAACAGGCGATGCACGGCGACTTGGAGAGACCAGGGCCAACCCTCTTGGAGCGGCCTAACCTCGACAGGAGACCCCCGGAACACCGGCAGAGTATGCGCGCCGGTGGGTCGAAGCCGACCCCCAAATCGAAGAGCCGGAGTACCCAAACCCCGGCCTGCAAGGGGTTAACCTGAGGGGCATCAGCCGAAGCTACCCAATCCCGGACGGAGAGCCGGAGTGGAACTACGAAGCACACCCTGACGGAGGGTGGTACGTGGACGAAGTACCCTTGTGGCGCGAGGGCAACCGGGAGCGGCTATACTGGCTCATCGACTTCATCAGCACGGAGGGACCCAGCAAGTACCCTGCCGTGAGGGAGTGGGAGGAGCGACGCCTGCAGTACCGGCGCGACTGGCTGCAGCGCATGATTCTGGAGTGTCGCAACGAACCCATGTTGGCGGGTTACAACACTCTTCCTCGGAGACAGGACGAGTTAGCGCAGATAGACTCCCTGTTCATGATGCACGCGGCCTACGCAAGGGACCTCATGAAGGAAGATGCCCTACCGAGGCTGGACACCGAGGCGGTGGAGTTCCAGACGGCCGCCACCAACAACCGGCGCCTGGCCTACCCCTGGGAACCGGCGCTGGGACCCCCGGTGGATGCCCCCGCGTTCAACTTCAACACCCGCACGGCCCCGATGCTGGAAATGGAGCTGGGAGCGCTGGTGGGGCGGGCGCACTCACTGTTTGCGCTGCTGGCGCAAGGGGAGGTGCGGCGCTTCCGCCAAGAGAGAACCCGGGAGCTGATCGCCAAGCACCGGAGGGGGCTGATACGGCGCGTGAACGAGATCTTCCAATCCCACAGCCACGAGCGGAGGCTGGAGCGGAGGGCGCTTGAGCGC